AAATATAATTTTATTGATTACAGAATAATCAAAAGCATTTAAACTATGGCCTGCAATTATGGAATAAATTGAACAAAGAGATACAAATAACTCAAAGTGGATGTTTTTTAGGTATGTTGGCCATAAATCTGGGTCAACCAAAAACTGCGTTAGAGATTTTAGAATCCGCAAAACAATCACACTTTACACCAGTGTTTGTTCGGCTCATTGCACTAACCGATTGTGGCCATTTTGAAGAGGCAACAAAACTCATTGAAGAACAGAAAAATGATAACCCAAAATTCGACATATACGCTAGCGTGGTGAGTATTTCCATAGACACACATTCGCCCGCTTCCATTCCATTCACTTTGGTTGATTTAAAATATTTGTCTATTTGTCTGTAATTCATTTTCAGGTTGAAAAGATTGGAGAAAGTTTAAAGAAGTACCCAACGACGGAAGAGAAGACCAACTTTTCTGAATTATTGGATACCATTCCAATAATTTTTTACATTTTATATACATTTCGTACAAATTGTTGACATCGTCAGGGACCCCCCATGGATTTTTCCAGGAACCCCCTAAAAAAATTTACGTCATCATCTATGATGTAAAATTAAAGAAAACAGCACTTAAAATGTATTCAGTCTACAAAGTTTTATTCATGTTATGAAAAAAGTCATATAAAAATTTACTAATTTGAATTCCAACACATTTTAAATAAATTCATAAAAAATCCATTTTTTGTCCCACAAAATTTACAAAAATTTCGAAAAAAACATGACATGACATTGTTCATGATGACAATATATATATATATATATATATATATATATATATATTTGACTCGCTTATCTAGAAGGCTATCTAATTACTATACTACCTACTGTCTTAGCCTTTGGTTAATTAATGTGATGCAATTGATTCATTTTGACAAATTGCCATTGTCATACATTTTCAACATTACAAAAATAATAATTCCAATAAAACAGGTAAACAAATTAAAAGAAAAAAATAATTGATTTTTTTTAACAATTATGATATTTAAGAAAACTATTGCATGAACTTTGTTGTCATGTGTGTGTTTTCCGGAAAAAAGACCGGCTGTAATTAAATTTTCATGCCGGTGTCAAGATTTATTGCTTGTTTGAGTATCTCGTACAATACCATTTTCATTGTAAATTGAGTGTCGTGACCATTCCAACTCTGAAACAAACATTTATTTATGTGATATATTGAGTTTGTAGCCAAAAAACATAACATGATTATAATGCAATTATATTTTGTTGTAAATAAGCATGAAACTTCAGCATAAAGAAAATTGAAAATATTTTTTTTTTTTAAATAACGTACCCCAATCGAGCCGTTGCTGGATCCATCATAGCCAATTGCATTCTTCTTCTCGTCACATCCAAGGGATACGAAAAGGATTGAGCTATTGCACCAGCTAAACCTCCGGCTAAAAGTTTGACAGGAATATTTAAAACTCGGCCGCCTGAAAATTTAAATTTGAAAAATTAATTTCCGATTCAAACATTTGATCTGGATATGTTAATATTTTGTTTTCTTTTTTTGCCTACCTGTATTTTTATCGCATTTGTTGCAAGTCCATTGTGGTGAGTATTTCATGCAAAGGAATTTCACACTTTCAAAGCAATAAAAACTGAAACCAGCATATGGAACCATACCGGTTAGAGTTGGAACAAAACCACGATACAGTCCACGAATACCACCTTCCTGCAAAGTAATACAAATGAAGAAAAATATCATTAGCGTGATTGTGTCTCCGTTTATAATAGAAAATTATTACAATTTTTATAACTGAAAGAGCTGTGTGTACGATGCCTGCATATTTATGTTCACCGGTAATTTGGAACGCAAGTCTTGCTCTGATTGTGTCCAACGGATAGATCAATGTCACCTGACCAAAATATAAACAATCAAAAAAAAAAAACATGACGGTCAATTAGTGAATTAATTTCAATAACGCAATTTCAATTCTGTAACGCCAGCGCCAAATCCTGCGATGAATTTGTCCGAGTTTTTGGTGAGTCTATTGGTTGGTATCAATGTTCCAACATACTGTAAACAATAAAATGCATTACAATAAAGTAGGAACAACGGGATGTGATGTGTTGAATATGATTTTATTTCAGTTATTTTTTGCTTACTCTTTTGTAAAATTCAAAAATGGAAATATTCGAACCATTTGAGCGCTATTGCCTTTGTAAAGTGCCCATAATGATTCTCTGCGAACGATATGTCGAAGGCCACTGAACACACCCAAATGTTTATAGTGATTTGAATGCGCTTGCAGCAAAATTTTTATCCGATCTAATGGTGCTACTGCAGTCTTTGAACACATACCAGCTACACCTGTTGAATTAAAGCATAAAAATATTCAATGAATACAATGTGCGAATTTTTTTTCATTCATTATTCAAATAATGGTAATTATTGGCTTAAGTCAAATGACTTTGAGCAATCATGTGCTCATCTTCGCTATTAAATTAAAGAATATTTCGATGCCAAGGTTTGAACATATTTTTTGGTCTCGAACTTTACGCTGCTTGAAAGGCTTGAAAAATCGAACAAATAGTATTTTGAACTTGCTTAATAAACTCCCGTAAAGGTGCATTTTCCAAGGCGACAATTGCAATCGTCCACGATTTTTTTTTTCAAATCGGGCGTCAAAAAAACCACAAATAATAAATCGTTCACGATTTTGGCGTCAAAAAAACCATTGATCTCAATCGTTAACGATTTTGGCCAACGATTTGAAATCGTACACGATTGTAATCGCCGCCTTGGAAAATGGACCTCAAGACTCTTTATTTTTTAAATCATTTCCAAAAAATTCTGTCGTTGATGTCCCCCTGGTGAAATACCACCAACAATTTTCACTCGAAACATGCGTTTATTGTGTTTTTCTTCTTTTTTCCTTCCAGGTAACTGAAAAAAAGTTATTGAAAAACATTCTCGGCATGCATATAATTGTACCAAAAAAGATTTAAACATCAAGCACAATGAATAATGCAGCTCTTTTGCATTACAGGTAGACACTTTTACTAATTATAATTAGTATTTTACTAATTTTAATTAGTTTTTTACTAATTAATATGTCTCTTTCTGGATGTTTCAAAAATGCAGAGCGGGTATAAAAGTACACATTAAAAAAAAATACTTCAGTCGAGTTTTGTAATTCAAGTTAAAAGAACTGTTTAGTGGAAGTGCTAGTTTTCAAATTCATTTATTCGTTGTTGTTTTTTTGTCAAAATGACTCATGTAAGATACAAGGATCAGAATGCGCCCACTGCGAAGCGTCAAAAATTGAATGAAGACAAAAAAAGAGGCGAAGATGTTGCTGTTGCAGGTCCAAGTCAAGCCCAGAATACAGTCGATAGAACAACGAGAGAATCATTTCCGCAAATTTTCAACTTATACGTCGATTGCTTCGAAGAGCTATTTGATTATTTACCATTAGAAGACTTGGATTCAATCAGTCAAACATGCACCAAAATGTATAAGCTCGTCGACTACTTCATTCGTGAAAACTATAAAACGAGCAAATTTTATTATAATGATAGGAATAATGTTAGCATTTATCCGAACGCGGATTCTGTAAATGGTATCGGTGAATTAATCCAATATTTGCATGTTGAATGTGATGTGTATCCGGAGTTCGTTCGAAATTCATCGAAATTCAAATCGCTCAACAAACTTTGCTTGGAATTTGACGAAAATGTTCGCATTGATCATATCGAACAGACGCTCAACAAAGTCAATGTTTTACGAATACTAAATTCCAAATCAAAAGAAGACACATTTATGGCTGGATCGAAAAAGCCTTTCTCCGAATATTTGCCCAATTTGAAGAGTTTATATTTGTTAACAACAATAGATAATGGAAACTGTTTCGAGCATTTTTTACAGAAATATGCAAAATTAGAAGAATTAAGTTTATATTGTGTGAAGGGGATGCCATCGCCCGATTTGCTAAGGAGATTTTTCGAACTAAATCCAAATGTGCGGAACATTTCAATAAATGTTCGCGTTTTTCTAAATAACATTCACTGGCTCCAGGATTCAATCATTAAACTTGATAAATTAACACTTCTGATGCAGATCTTGGATGATGACATTCCGTTCAATCTATTAACTCCAATGTTGAGCAAATTATATGAGACTGGTTTTTATAAACAGCTACATTTTGAACATTGCCTGGATAGTGAGATTGAATCTAATCTCATCTTAGATACATTCGCATCTCACGTGACAGGAATTTTTGTTCAGAATTTGAATGAAATCGTGACGAATATTCCAACATCACTTGAAGAGATTGAGTGTATGGAAGCAACTTTTGATGATATTTTATTAATATGTGGTAAATTTGAAAAAATAAAAGTAATCAGAGTTCAAACTTACTTTGATGGTTATATTGCTAATGATATAGAAAAATTAAATAAGGAACGAGCAAAACTGATCAATCGATGTAAACTAACAATTTACGTTCATAAATTTATTTATGAACGGATCAAATGGAGACATCAAGGGAAGACTGATTTTGGACTGGTTAGCATAAAACGCATGGATTTGGTCGAAGTGAAATCAATGAGTGGGTTTGCGTAAAAAATAAACAACAAAATTATCAACTATTTTATTGTCATTCAAAATAAATGATTGAAAACAGAAAACAAAAGTCCCTTGGTTTATCAGTTGGATTATTCGGAAAGAGCGAAAGAACCAGTGAATTTATTGTACATATGTTTAAACAATCATTGTAAGCCAATTAATAAAAAATCTGAAAAAAGTACCCAAAGTATGGGTCCCATACTATTGAAATATAAAAAATTCTGTAAATGAATAACTTACACGCTTTTTTTTTCATTAAACAAAATGCCTTTATTAATTTATAAATTTCACCCGCTAGAGTTTGTTCAAAAATTGCAAATTTTGATTTCTTTTTTAAATTTTTGCACTATTGGGAAGTCCATATATAAGTTGTGTGACAGCGCATGACCAAAAGTACTTCGTTGATATGTTTCAAACTGCTTTTCAAAATATATTGGGGAAGCAGATCCAGTGATTACTTCCTGCACGACAGTCAACACCAGTAATGTGCGAGCTACATTTTACAGGAGGGGGTGATTTTTCAAAAACCAAAAATTCTCTAGCAAATCAAACAAATTTTCGTTTTTTTTTTTTGGAAGTCACTTTTTGAGGCGAAAATCCCTAGCAAATCGAAAGAATTTTCTCCGCGAAAAACCTTAGCAAATCGGAAAAAAATCTCTCGGAACCAAAAACCCTAGCAAATTTAAAGAATTCTCCTCAATTTTCTACATTGATGAGCTAAAAAAAAAAAAAAAGGTCTTCACTTTTTTCATGAAAAACTCTAGCAAATTCAAACAATTTAACGAAAAAAATTTTCCCCAGCCAACCCGCCGGGGGGGGGGTAAAGTGACCACAGTGTGGTCGCAAATACGTTGTGTGGTCGCATATGCAAAGTTTGTTCTTTCACCACCATATTACAGGTACATGGCGCCACCATGTCACTTTTTTCATGTCGGGGGGATGGGGCATATAAAAGACACTGCTGTAAATTGAATATTCTTTTACAAAACTATTGAATAAATGAATCGTTGCGGCGAAAGAGTAGCTCTTATTTTTCTCCAAATAATACTGCAACATGAAGCTTTTTCAAATGGTCTTAATCGCGGGCACTAATTGTGCACTAATTTTCTGGATAGGTTTCAAAAAATTCTGTCGTAGTGTCCCCTTGGTGAAATACCACCTACTTCTGCTATTAAATTAAAGAATATTTCAATGCCGGACACATTTTTTGGCCTCAAACTTAACGCCGCTTGAAAGGCTTAAAAAATCTAACAAATATTATCTTGAACTAGCTTAATAGAATACGCATCTACCACCGTGCGGAAAAGTTCGTCTTAACATATGTATCATAAACATTGGCACAAACTGAGACATTTATTAGAACGCAATAACAAACACAAAAATGTCAACTAACGCACGTAGTGCATTTATCGGTACCTCGAGACTACTGTCAAACTCAATCCGACGTAATACATTCATTCGCGATGGCGTACAAATTGGATTTACGAAAGTCTGTCGCAAACTGCTTTGGACAGCTAAGTACAAACGAAATTCTGCATGTGTCTAAAGATGATCCAATCTGTCTTCGAACCATGTATCGTGTTTTATTGACTTAGTGTGAAGATGAGGATTCTAGAGAATGCAAAAAGTACGGTCGTATTCCCAATTTAAATGCTCAAACCCTTCAAAATTGTCATCAAGTACCGAAAACCGGGTTGGTCAAGCAAAAATTCATTTTTGGTGATTCTTATGGTTACAGCACATCCAAATTAGAACCAAAACAATAGATTTAGACACGATCATTAGTAATCAGCAAAATAAGTTGCGAGAAAATACCAAAGTATGTCAAAAATTGGCTATCAACTTCGCCTCATAGCATGTTGCATTTAAAAATTCATCATTTTGCATAGAGAAACATTCATCGCTATATCGAACCACGAATCAAGTGCAAGTGGTTTCTTTTGCATTTATTATGTTAGGGCACTACTACTAAGGCTAGAGACGTCGACAAACCGAACTTTGACAAAGGGGTGTTTGTATGGTAGGATCTTCTTAGGAAGGTGTTTTAGAGCCATTATTCAAAAATTTAGTGCTGAAATGTAAGGTTAAACCTCCATTACTTGCAGAAAAATACACAATAATGGCTCACTTCTTAAAAAATGGCATTTCCATGAAAAAAGGACCATCTTTTAAACTTCACAAAAAGACACCAAATTAATTATTTCTAGTCTGTTTTTGGATGTATGTTATAGACGAAGGTCCAAAATACTTGAAACGAGTAACAATTGGTTGGATGGATTGAGAGAAAGTTGAAAGAAATCGACATATTGGTCGTCCAGAGCATGATTTTGAAGGTTCACCGCATACTGAGAAAAATTGAAGACAAAGGTCCATTAAGTGTAAAGTGAATGTGCTATTCGATAGCCTATGAATAAAGGTTTATACCAATAAAAAAGAACTTATTAATGTGTGTTTGTTGTTCAAATGGCGAAAGTCTCAATTTGTGCCAATGTTTATGATACATTGATACTCCTGTAAGACTCTTTATTTCGATGTCCGAATGTATGTGCGTTCAACATATTAACAAATAACTTTCAAACAAGAAAAGTAAAGAAAGAGGATTATTTTTCATACAAAATGTGTCATTTTTCACACTCGAAAGTGCAAACCTCGAATATTTTTTAAACGCGTAGATATTTTTTGGTAAAACTTCACTAGTTTACTCTCCGTAAATAAAATAATAAGTGTACAAAAAATTATGGGTCTAGCTATTTCCGAAATATATTAAATATTGCTCCAAAAAATCGTCAATTTGTATGAAATTGTATGAAACAAATGAGCTTGGTCTCAAATTTTCTGGTATATGGCAATGAGCTGAAACTTTGCACAGGTTATTCTTTTCACAGGATTTTTTTGTTCGAAAACGACATTTTTGTATGGAAGGTACCTATCCCTAAATTGTATTGAAATTTTTTAAAACTTTCAGAATGTCAGCTTTTTGTGAAAAAAATAACCTCTGCAAAGAGCCACGTCGTTACGATATCATTCCATACAAAATTTCCCATTTTTAGTCATTTTTGTATGAAAAGTGTCTCGAAAATTATTTATATCGTAAAACTACAGTGCGGAAAAGTTCATCTTACGGATGTAATACATTTTATTTTTTCATGTTTTTGACTTGTATGGATTTTGCACTGCCATGGTGCATAATTGAGTTTTAATATAAATAATTCATTATAAAAAATCTTCTTATATAACACTTTTTGTTCTTCTTCCACTCGTGAACTCATTCTTCTCACCAGACATTTTTTTACATTTGGCAGTACACAAACAGCCGTAACATGTGACGGAGAATGCTGACCAAACATAATTGATCAACATGAATATCAAAGCGGTTCGCTTAGAGTCTTTACGCATTCTTTGTGATAACAAACCAAATGTTCGGGGTACAAGAAATTGATATGTTTAGCCTAATTTAGAAATCCCTGTTGTAAATATAGCGATCTTCTTAATACAATATAAGAAAGTTTCTATTTTAAATTTCAATTCAAAATCTTTTTGGAGCATTTGATTTGATTTAATTGATGACAAATAAAACAATTGAAAATTCTATTAGAATATCAGTGTTTACCCAACTTGGAAAACATTTTTATCTCTTTATTTTAAAGTTGTATTATAATAAATCGTTGTTCTAACTTAACTACTAATGGTGACATCTATCGTCCAATTGGCGACATCTATGTGAAAATGGAATAAATACGAGTGTACACAAGTTTTGATTTTGATGATTTATTTGATTTAAAATGCTTGTCAACATTGCAACAGTTTTGTATTCACCTTTAGAAGATTGCAGCCGACAGTAGTTAGCAGCGCATCACTATTTTGGGTCGTTTCGTCTGAATTGTAAAAAAAAATCCCATCTCCTAAGGTAAACATGACACGGCCATTTAAATTGCCTTTCATTATGGTATTGTTTATAAAAAAAGAATATGTTTTCAGTCCATTTTATGGTTTTTGAAGAAATAATCTCATTTTTGTACTGTTAGACACAAAAATATGCGCATCCACAATCAAAATCATTTTTTTACTTTTAATAAGTACTTGCGATCCAACAAACCGTTATAACATTTGCGCAAATCATTTTTTCCACACTTTTTCTATGCAATTTATAAACGATAAAAGAACAACCAGTTGAATATTAAAATTTTGTTGGTGACTTGGCAAAATATGTGGAAAAAAGGAAATCTTCATGTATAATGAATGTCATACATCAAATAACTTTTATTTAAAAAAATGAGCATAAAACTTCAAGTGTCAATCTCTGATTTATTCATAGAATTAAAATTTCGTGATTGGTTAAAATGATTCACTTCATCACAAAGGCAGCAATGGTACGAATGCCAACGCATTCATCGTTGAAAAACGTTCGATTTTTGACGGAAACCAGTAAAACGTTTGGTAAGGTTCTTGCTACGCCAACACCGACTACCCAGTCATCATCAGCATCGGCAACTCAACCGCAAACCAATCCAGATTTACAAAAAGCATGGGAAAGTCATGATATAACTGTGTCGAATTGGGATAAACGCGTTTTGGTCTCAGTTGGAAAATACAAAAGAATTGCTGATGTTCCAAAGAAAGTATCGTAAGTAAAATCGAAGCATTTTTTTACTCACTAAACACTGCATTTATTAAATTTCCCTTTTTCCTGCAGATATGAAACAATTGAACACTCACGTGACCGATTCCGTATAAAAATGGTCATCTATATGATGGTCGTAAGTGCAATTATTAGTTACGTACAAATTGTTCGCGGCAAAAACGCACATAAACGTGGCGAAAGTGTTGTGAACAACAACATGGAATGGCATCGAAAATACAACGAAGAAGCCGCCAAAAAGTAACGCCAAATTGGAATACAACGCTGGTCGATAGCTGAATTGAGGCAATTTTTAAACACTTTTCAATTGATTCATTTTATTCAGCCTTTTCATTTGTTTTTTTTTAATGTTATATGTAAACTAATGTTAATTTAAATTAAAATTCAAGTAAAAATAAATCGAATCTCCTTTCAAAGTAATTCTATGATAAAATATAGTGGTTTTAATTGAAACAGCTATCATTTTGACAAGTCATCTTTTAACAATATCTCAAACCCTCAATTGGCATCAAATATGGTACCGTTATTCATTATTGAAATCGCTAAGCATTTTCAACTGATTTCAGTGTATGTTTCAAATTCCATTATAATATGTATAAGTCGGATGATATTGGTAGTACCAAATGTGGCCACATCTATCGCTCAATAGTTGACATAACATGATGATACGAGACAGTCTTATTTCCAATTGAATCATCTGTCAACATTGAATTGTTTTCAAATCAGTTTTCTTACGATTGGAAGCAAATCAAGCATAAAATTATTACATTGATTTTGAAAAAAAATCCTTACTTTTCCTAGGTAAGCATGATGTGGCAATTTGTACCGTCTATCGTAAAGTCAAAGTTTTTCAGTTTATTTGACATAACTTCTTGATTTGTGGTAACAAAAATACAATCATTTTTCGTCACGTAGCACTCAATACAGTTCATAATCAACATCAAAATACCGAATCATATTCGAAACATATTTACAGATGAGATTTATCGATATGTATCAATGTTTACGATGAAAATAAAAAAAGTGTCTCTTTTACAAAATGATTATTCAAAATTATGATATATAGATAAATTGACCTTTGTAAATGAGCAAGATATGATTATATAATGATAATTGTCAATGTCAAATTTTTATTTGTAGATTTGAAATTCGTAATTGGTAAAGATGTTACGTCTCTTCACAAAGACTGCATTGGCGAGGATATCACATCCAAAGCTAGAAAATGTTCGATTTTTATCGCAAACGAAATGTGTGTTCGAAAAGACTCCCGCTTCATCAACATCGAATGAATCCCAGTCACCTCAAACACCAGCAAATCAAGCGCCAACCGATGCAGCTCAAACTCAGCCATGGCAAAAGAAATCACAATATAGAAACGTAACGAATTTTGACAAGCGCGTTTTGGTGTCCGTTGGAAAATACAAAAGTCTCAATGATGTTCCCGATAAAGTACCGTATGTTGATTTGAAAGTTACATTATTTTTTGCTTAAAGTAGACTGATTGTGACATTTGTTTGTTTTCAGGCATGAAACACTTGATCGCGCTCGTGACAAATTTCGTGTAAAAATGTGTATCTATATGATGGTTGTTTGCGTAATTTTTTGTATCGTTCAAATTATACGCGGTAAAAAAGCAGCTGAACGTGGCGAAAGTGTGGTGAACAGCAACATGGAATGGCATCGTAAATACAACGAAGAAGCCGCCAAAAAAGAAAATAAATAAAGAATTAATATACATTGTAAATGAAGATCAATGATGAGTTTATTTCTCGTCTATCTGTATAAGAAAAGTACTCGAAAAATTGTACATATTATTAAATGCAATTTATGGCAGGAATTGATTGTTTTTAATTCAGATTTCACCATGTTGGTGTGGTTTGTCTCCAGAAATGCTGAAAATAACTGCGATTCATTCTTTTATCTCTTTAACAACTTTTTTTCCTCTGCAATTTCTTAAAATGATTAGACTCTTGCTTTGAGAGAGATAAGTATCTAAATCACCTTTGGTAAAACGATCAATTCTCATTTTTGTCAGTCATTAGTCCGAAGTTTATTTAAGGAATCAAACAAGGAAAAACAAGCAGGTCCATTACAAATTCAACTGAGACTATCAAGGGAGTAACGATACGTTCGACTTGTAAATCGTGATGCACGAGTGCCAACCCTACAATTATCATCAATGTACATTCATCATGATAGTTTCTGTAAAAAGTAATTGAATATGATATGTCTAAGTCGCCATTTTAGAGATTTATTTTTTTTAAGGTCGACAAATGGAATTCACGACCCATTTAAAAGGAAAAATTACATCATACAAATAAACGAATTATTTCACTTAATTTATTTCTTTTTCCATAACTAAAAAACCAATTTATTTACATTTAGCTTCTTGTTTATGTTTTTTTTTTTTTTTAAATGCATTCCATCTTTTTCTTTACTTATTTTCCGTTGCTTCCATTTTTTCTCTCTTTTAAAATTGGTTTGTGTATTAAGTCTATCGCTGAAAATGGTTTAGTTATCATATGTTCTTTACTGTATAAGCCACATGTCGATTGGCGTTGACTTTGTGATGAATTGGACCAAAATAAAAAAATAAGTGTATGTGTGTGTATTGATTGAACTTTTCTTTGATTGAGCATGGATCTAATCACTCCTATAAATGAACATGAGAAAAAAAACGTTCAATTTTAAAATGATTTCCACATTGAATGATTGAATATTTAGTTTACTTACTCTCTATGCAAGAGAACATAAAGCGCCAAAATTCCCAATATGAGATACTAAAGAGAATAAAGAAATGTGTGATGAAATAAAATTAATGAAGATGTATTTGAATGTGATTTCTTACCTTGAAGTTCGGATACTCATTCATGTATATCGTAATCATACCAACGTACGGTAAAACACCCCTGGCCCGACCAACGATATCATTCTTTGTTAGCCACAATTGACCGGGAGCATACAATCCTCTATCATCAACTGAGTTATTATCGCCTTTCGTCAGGAATTTGACCGTACCATTTTCTCTACGATAGAGCACAAAAAAACGTGTTTCGATTTAAATGTTATCACCAACGTAGCAATACTGCAAAGATTGTGTATTAAAATACGAACTTTTCATGTAATTTAATGACTCGATGAACGATTGGAATGTCTCTGCCTTCAACTTTGAATACAACAATGTCACCGACACGTACGGGCTCTTCACGGAAATTGGTCAGGAACAAAAGATCGCCACGATGGAATGCCGGCTCCATACTACCACTCAATACGACAACAATTGGTGATTCACTGCCCGTCACAACCATTAAACCTTTCCAGATCATCAACGCTGACGAAACAATCATACCAAAACTCAGGAATTGGTATAAATGCTACAAAAAATGTAAATGCATACACAAAGAAATGAATACATTATCACCTTAGCATCTTTGATTGTTCAACGTGAAAATATTTAACAAAACATACTGAAAATGTTTTTACTTACTTGTCGTTTATCCATACGTTGAACATCTTTAAATAAGGAGCCTAAGCTAAATTGATCAAAAGTCCCCATCATTTAAACGTTTATAAATTCGTGTGCTTCAAATAAAATGTCGATTTTACTGAAGAGACAAAAATTTTGTTGGCTAGATGATGTGTTATTCTGTATTGTTTGTCGGTACCGTTGTGCTGACGAAACGTATATTGCATACTCTTACACAGAAAAGTGTTCAATCGAGCACTCACCACGTCAGAAATGTTGCATTTGTCAAAGTGTCAAATAGTATGTCAATGAAGCAATATGGCGCAGCGTAACCAACATTATTTTTTATTTTTAGTACACTGATAGTAGAATCGTATACGAACAGTCCGTTAGGTTTGAAAATGTTGTGCACTTTTTCTATTCAATTAATTTTTTTTTCAATTCAAATTTAATGCATTTTATTTCAAAATTTTAATTTAGAAATATTTTGGAATAATTTTGATTTCAGACAAATTTGTCGTTTTAATCAATTGAAAATATACGCATTTTTTTTAGATCAAAGCAACTCAAATTAGTATGACATTTGACACTGTCACTGAAAAAGCGGTATCAAAACAAAACAAAACACATTCTAGACTTGTTGTATAGAAAATAAAAGTGAATGAGCTAGATTTCGTTGGCAAAAATGGAGTTAAATTGGGATACATATGATTTAGTGTGTGAACAGGTGAAACAATGTTTATTACCCGAACTAGATCGTGATATTGGCGATGAACCATTGGCAAAGGAGGATTTTAGCATGTTTCGATATGGGCTAGAGATGAATTTACAGCTTTTGTTTGATATTGTGGCGAAAAATGAACGTTTATTGCTTGAATCGTTTGAAGGGAAAGACAATACATTTCGAGTGAATTTTATGCTGTTAATACATCAACAATCTGGCTACGACGAAGCACCATTCCAAACTGATAGTCGATCGATTTCGAAACAAATTCGATTCTTAATCGATAAATACTACAAGAAAATCATATCAGAAACCATCATTCAAACTGATTGCTCCAAGTATTACAAAGAACGATTAACAGCTGATAAATGGAAGCGAAATATTGGCGCCGTTTATGGTTTTCTTCAAATGAATAATGTAAATATTCCATAATTATTTTGACTATTGTATGTTTGTCATTGTTCAAACTTGATTTTTTTTTTGCCACAGTTACACCAAACATTGATCCAAACAAAATTCAAAACGGACGATTGCCTGTTCATGTTGTCGGTTGGAATGAATTTGACTGATTATTTCGAACCAAGTTACAAAAAATTCGGCCTAATCATATTCAATATTTTGATTGACTACGGCGTAAGTGGAGACTTTTACCTAGCAATTTTGAAGCATTCGTCTAATTTCATTATACTGTTTTCAGGATCCAGTTGAATTGCAAAAGTTAAATATATATCGGGTTGTCTTTGAAAAATTAATAAAGACATTGATTAAAATAATCACCGATGAAAGTGGCACGGTACTGATTTTGAGCTGCGCATACAAGTGTATCGAAACGTTTGATGGATGGCGAACACCAGTCAAATGGAATGAAGTGGACGATGCGCTTGAAGAAGTAATGAAACGAATTCCCTTCGAAGTTGACAATCGTTGTACAGCTATTCTATTTATGTTTGTGTGCCGTGTCACAACGTTGCCAATGGAAAAGTCACGCATTTTTAGTAAATTGACCGATGTTACGAACTTGGATTATGTTATTGAAACGGCAAAAAAATCAGCAGAAGATAAACGCGAAATATTCAATGAATTACGGAACATTTTCAGTTCACATCATAATCTTCTGATCGCACGTTGGTTAAGACGGCTGGTTAAAATATTTCAAGATCGTGACATAATCGGAAAAGCAGAAGAAATTAGATTTATGCTATTCGTGAGTCAACCAACGATCTTTTAACACTGAAAGTAACTCTCAAATGATACGATCCATCTTATTTTTTTTTGAAACATAGATAATGCATATTCTTTATATATGCGCTTTCTACGGTAGTCCATGGTTTATGGGAATGAAGTGGAACGACCTTCTGCATGAGTTTGTTTGCAATCTAATGAAATTAGTTGCCAATAATTTCAATCGAGAAATGTTTATTGAGGTAGATTTTTTTTTTTAAATGAGTTATTTTAATAAATTCTGATCAATAATCTTTTCCTTTTCAATACAGGAAATATATGCCATTTTGGACACATTAAAACTTCATTTGGAAATTGCTGAAAGAACTCCAGATTTCTTCAAGGATGAGCATGAAGAACAAGTTACCAATTTCATAGAATCCATTCACAAGATAATACCAGAATTGGAACAGTATTGCGTAAGAAAGAAAAACGAGGATGAAGAAGAAAGACTGTCGCGGAAATCTGAACTATCATTGGAGGTATCAAAGACATTGGAGGACCCAAAGACATCGGAGGACCCAAATATGCCAGAAGAAGAATCGAATTGATATTTATGAGATTGTACAAATTAAGATAAAAAATTAAAATGTCTTTGATAAACATAAAAAATACAAGCTTTGAAAGTTTTTAATAGCTTTAAAGTTTCAACTTATTTTGGTAGAAGTAGCGCATAAGATTATTCTGTGTATTAAAATTTATTAAAAATGATTTTCGAATTTTTCGATTTTTTGGATGTAAATGTATTTTACTGCATACTTCAATTACGGCATTGACTTTTTGTCATTCTGGTTCTAGTGAACGAACCTTTTGGTTGCATTCTTAAAATGTAATATTCATGGCTTAAGCACTAATTCGATATTTAGCTGGCTATCATTAGAAACTATTCCTACTGTGAAGTACATCAACCGAACACGCTAAAGGTTGCCTGTCATATAAATGACTATCTATTTGGCGTCAAAATTAAACAATTTCAATCATTATCCATCATAATTAGTAAACAATTAGATTGTTTGACTAGGAGATTTCGTTCATTAAAATTGATTTTTAATGACATTTTTCAGTCCTTTTCAGGATAAAGTAAATAAACCAATTGTTTACCATTTTATAAACGAAAGCTATTTTGAATCTTCCTATCTCGATCCTGTGAATTGTGATATTATTTTTTTTAATTGAATTAAAAGACATTTCCTGAAGTCATGATAATATTAACGTTTATTTGAGAGTAACATTTTTATTTTGTTTAACATAATAAAAAATTAATCAGAAGATTTTAAAATGATGAAATAATGATTGTTCAAAAGCAACAAAAATAATTAATAAACTAATGATAAAATGAAACTTGATAAAATGACATTGTTAAGTGAAAACATGAGAAATACCATTAGAAATAACAAAAGAAAAAAATCAAACGCTTATGTTATTCTTATTATTATTATTTGTGTCGTCTTGTCCGTTTTGAGATTGGTGATGTAACTGTGGTGTCACTGCCATTTGATTCGACGGTTTTCTTCGTTTTTCTTGGTTTCTTCTCGGCTTCCGGCTCTTTCACGATTGTTTCTGGTTCCACTTCAACCTCCTTTGATTTTGCAGTTTTTCGAGTTCGCTTTGGTGGCGGTTGCTTTTCAACAACATCTACCTCAGCCTCGACTTTGCGAGCGCGTTTGGCTTTTGGTTTTGGTGCCTCCGTCACTTCATCATTTGTTGAATCCCCGGCTTGCGCAACATTTTCGATATTTTCTTCGGTCTTTGACACTGTTCGACTTCGACCGGCTCGTTTTTTCGTTGGTGGTTCAACTGGTGGCTCTTCAATAGTCTCAACTGGTGGTTCCTCAATAGTCTCAATAATTTGGACCTTTTTTGGTCTACCTCGTTTTGGTTTAATTTCTGTCGGTTCTTCAGCCAAAGTTGTTGGTATTTCTACCACAATGTTTGGCTTTGTTTGCATCTGACTATTTTTGCGTGTAATTCGACGGGCAGGCATCACTAAAATTGCTTTATCCACTGATTCAGTTTCGGACTTTGTTGGTACATCTACCACTACGGATTTTGTTGGTGCTTCCACCACAGCGATTGGCTTTGTTTGCATCTGACTATTTTTACGTGTAACTCGACGTGCAGGTACGACCAAAATCTCTTCAACTGATTTAGCATCGTCTACCGATTCAGCTTCGGACTTTGCGCGTGTACGTTTTGTGGCACGTTTTGGCTTCTTATCATCGACAGTCTCTGGCATACTTTCCACGGTCGCTTCAGCAAGAGATTTTGCCTCTTCTTTCTTTTCTTCTTCTTTTGGAGCTGCTTTACGTCGTGCTTGTCGCTTTGGTTTTTCAGCTTCAACCGGTGCCGGATTTTCTCCTTCATCCGAATCCAAAATGATTGTTTCGACTGTTAAAAAAACAAAAGTATAACGTATATTGTATTGTGACACATTTTTCAGCTAAAAAAGACCAATAAATATAAAGGTTAACTTACCGTTTTCCATAGATTTCATGTCGACTTTGGTTTGTTTTCGTGGTTGTCGTGCTCTCTTTGGTGTGACAGTTGAGCTAGGTTCATCGACTGTAACATTGCGTTTACGCAGCGAACGCAGAGAATGTGGCGTTGTGACTGCTTCTGCGATGACATGATCATGATGAGTTTTCAATACCTGTGGTGTACTTTCAGCACTCTCCACTGTGGTATTCACACGTTTGCGTCTGGATGGTTTTCCAGGAGCCTTATCTACCTTTTCATTGGATTTGGTCGATTCTTTTTCAACGTCATCAATGACGATGGTTGGTACATTTTCTGTGACGGTTTTCTTCGGTTTGGACACTTGCTTGACTACCTCATCTTCAATTTTCTTGCGTCGCAATGGTTTTTCGTTGTCTTCAACTTTGTCGGTTACTTCAATTGGCTCCTGTTTTATGACTTCCATTTGTTTTTCGTTTGATTCAACTGTCGATTTTGATTTCGGACCAGTCAATCTACCTGTTCGCTTTTTGGTAGCGGGCAACGGTGTTCCGACTCTTTGAACAGGCGCCTCTCTTGCATCTGATTTTGATGCAATTTCTTTGGCGTTCTCTTTAAGAACGGCTGCTACCAAATCACAAACTTCATCCTTCGTTTTGATTTGCTCATTAACGGGCTCCGTTTTGCTTACTGTACGTGTTCTCTTGATTCGCTTGTTCACGGGTATTGATACCGATTTCGATGTTGAAGGAGTCTCTGCATCTGAATTGTTTATCTCATTTACACTTGCCTGCTGCTGTGCTGAGGCTTGTACGGCTAACAAATTCTCTTGCTTCTTAACCGATTTTGGAATTTTAAGTGGCGTAATTTTTACAACGCAATCGTTAATATTTGGCGGTATTTCCTCGGGACGTTCCGTGTTCGGTTTGCGGTTTGTTGACCGAGCTGACATTTTAGTGTCCAATTTATTTTTTTCTGGTAATTTACTGACCGTTTCAACGGTGTCTTCACGAATATCATTGTGAATGTTTGCCAGTTCTGCTTCGATGCGATCGTAAGTCTCAGGGGTCACACCTTCCTTTCCATTGCTCTCATTTGCAACACTTTCGACTTTCGATTTGGTCTTTTCGACATCAATTTTCGGAATTGATTCCTTATTTGCTGTAGAGCATTCAGCTACTGTTTTGCATTGAGTTGTTTCGATTATCTTTCGTGTTGTACGCTTAGCCGGTGGTGTGTCAAGCGCCAAATTGGGCCGCTTACGTTTGTGGGAACGTTTTGATGCTGAATCATTTCGTTCGTTGTCTACCGTAGTGGCTGGTGTCATTAAAATGGTGGTAGACGATTCTGTTTGAATTGAAGGCACTTCTGACTTATTTTCGATTTGGTCTTCAGTGGCAATTACACTGTCTTTGATTGGTGACGTAATATTGGATTTCTTTTCTGGTGTCTGGGCAAACGATTTACTATCAATTATCTTCTTGCGGTTTGCCGAGTGTGCGATTGATGAGCTTCCACTTGATTTTGTCAACGATTCGATTTTGACAGGTGTTCCAAAGTCAATAACTTCAACCATTGGAACATTTTCTTCTGATTTTTCGCCGTGTGTGGAGTTTGTTTCATTTGTCTCAACCAATTTTAGTGGTGTGGCCGAAATGTTTAACTTTCTCGGAGTACGTTTTGGTGTTGAACGTGCAATATTAAGATCCTTGCGTCTGGTTGATCGTGCACTTGTTACCACATTCTCTAAAGTCACAAACTCGCGTTCTTTAGGCGATTCGACGGCTGTATTCTCCTCAGTTTCTGTTGGCACGATAATGTCATTTTGCTCAGGAACTGTTCCACTTTCAACTGCAGCTGTTTCACATGTTTCTTTTGATTGTTCTTCTTTTTCGGGCTGTTTAGATTTTTTCGAAGCAGATTGCACCGCACTGTCATTTAATTTCCGTGAGTTACGCTTATTTGTTGGCATTTCAAGTACCACATCAAGAAGTTTATGTCTGAGTGAGCTTGTGGCAGCAGAGTCCTCGACGATATTCGTTGATAATTCCAATTCAGATGGTGTTGAATCAATGATATCATGTTCTAGAGTAGATGAATTCAAATTCTCGTTTTGAACAATATTTTCACTTTTATTTAGCCCATCGGAATTTTTTTGAACTGAAACAGTCTCGGCATTTTCGTCGTTGGCTTCATGTTGATTTGTGTCTGTCGACGATTGGACTTCAGGTTCGCCTGGAGTTTGTGGAATACTTACACTTACGTTCAATTTTCGTGGTGTTCGTTTGGGTGTCGCTTCACAATCAACAATTTTTGGTTGACGTCTTGATGTCCGTGTGATGGTTGAACTAGATTTGGCAATTATTTCAACTTTGGCTGGTGTTGCGAAAACGGTCGACACTTCTTCAATGTCTTTGGTCTCACTTTGTTCTTCTGGCGATTTAGAATTGAATGAAGACAATTCTGTTTCCTTTTCTTCGACAGCAAATGTATTGCAATCGGCCAATTCAGAAGATTTTTCCTCACTTTGTTCAGGAACATTGAACTTTCGCTGTGTTCGTTTTGGTGTGACAGATGCAAGTTCGGAAACTTGTTGTGAACGTTTTTTGTAACGTGGAATGGTAAAAGCACGACTTTCATCTGGCTTCACAATCGACTTTGGTGTAGATAATGAGTCGGCATCACAAATACTTTGAACGTCATTGTTACCAACATTCTCAATTTCTCCCGTTGGTGTTGATACAGCTAAAACAGCTTCATCAGAGGATTGTGTTGCCTCTGTGTTGATATCTGTTCGAATTTCATTCATAACCATTTCGTTTGATTCATCGTAAGATGTTGTGACTGAAACATCATCGGAAATG